ATGTAGATTAGAAAATATCTGCATTTATCCCTAAAATTGTGAAATTAAGTGTTATAGCAGCCAAAAAATGGACAGCAGCTTAGCTTAATAATATAAATACAATATAGATACTGTACAGTAGACTTAGCTGTAAAGTAGTGAGGTGAAGTAAGGTTTTCCAAAAATCTAAGCAAACAAACAAGAAACCCTCCACAAACAGATGAAACCAGTGTAACTTTGGACATAAATCAAGATGAAATATCTCGGTTGGTTTTGAAGGGTTAGTGAAGTTAGTTAAATTATAACACTGGCAACGTCTTTTAGAAGAGTTGGGGGTAAGTTGTTCTTAATGAAAGTGCTGATTCAGGGTCATTCAGTGAGACTGTTGCTGTAATTTGGCAAGGAGAAGACAAAACTGCAGCCAATAGACTGTATTAGCCTTTTCCATTAGCCGATGTGCCATGCTGCATGTGAATAATCCTAATAAAGACCTTTAGAGGGGAAGAGTGACGAGCAGAATTACGTTTGATCATCACCTGTTGCCAGCGGAGTTGTTCAGCTGTTTTCCAGCTGAGACTCCAACCACAAAACCTCCTGGTAAGAACATGGAGGATGGATGCAGACACGCGGTTTATGCCAAAATTAGAAAATTTCTTTGTTAGAGTAGCCGAATAAAACAACAACAAATCTGTAAATCTAGGAGTGCCATTGTTGACTATTGAAAGTGTAGTATGTATGATAACCATGTAATAACAGAGATTAACACGTTCCTGGAGACAGTTATAGGCACAGTGGGAGGACAGAGAGGGAGTGTGAGAAAATCCTTTGTCTTCTCCTTCACACTGTTCATGATCAGTTTGGATCACCAAAAAGGAAATAATTAGATTTAAAAAAAACGGAGCCACATTAAAAAAAAGTTAATTTGTTGTTGTTTTTTTTGTCTTTTTTTCCTGTAAGGACAAAACTGAAGCACACAAGCGTGCATTCATACGCATCTTCTCTGTAACTGGCTGCATGTTCCACAGTGCTAATGCAATTATTGTGTGATAAACATGCTCGTTATTATTACAGCCACCGCTGTTTGCATCTGATAAACCTAAAATAGGCCTTCATACTTGGTTTACCTGGATACGCTGAGTGGCTCATAGCTGATTTATCCACTTGTGTGAATTTGGGTGAGTCGCCAGCACGGTTTCACACAGCAGCTGGTGTGTGGGCACAAAGCTAAGCTTCAGGCTTCAGCAGATCATGATTGTGCACAGTTTGTCAGAACATACATTTTTATTCATGCTCAACTAAAACGAATACTTATTAATGTATTGTAATGAGTGGTAATTATCGATAACATTTCATTAAACATGCAGAGACATAAATACAGCAGCCACTGGTTGTATTTATGGGGGAAAAAATTAAAAGAGCCTCCAAAATATGGAGGCCAAGTCAACACCTTGAACTCTATAATGTCCTTCAAACCAGCCCTGAACCATTTCTGCAGTGGGCCTGCGATTGTTCTCAGTGTCATTAGGGAATGCTGTTGCCATAAAGAAGTGTAAATGTGAGGGGTATGGGTGAGAATAACATCCAGATGATGCTGGAGCCAGGGTTTCTACTTCCACTCGCCTTCTTCACTTCCGTCTTTTCCCATAAAAAGGACACATTCACAAAGATGTCCACGCGATCTAAAAGAAGGATACCATTGCAGTGAGATAATCAGTGTTATCCACCTTAGCTTTAATTTCATGGCTGATATATGTATTATTCCAATTTATTCCTCAGTCAGTTTTGAGCTGCTAATCATTTTGCTGTACAGTTTACAAAGGGCAGGTCGTGTTTTCCAGTATTTGTGTTCCTAATGACTCAGAATGAGTCTTGATCAAATAGTACTCAGTGAGTCATCTTTAAATCCTGTGCCCTGGGGTCTGATCAAGTCCAGTTCTCCCACAGTGTTATATACGCCACTGCATGAGAGTCCCTCTGCTCAGTTTCATAGTATAATTTCTGCATTCCTTGAGGCCGTACAGTGACACATGCACACAAGCAACTGTGTGTGAAGAGGCCAGTGGGTGTGGTAATTACTGCTGGGTGATAAAGCAGGCGAGGATAGTGAGTGTACACTGAAGGTTAAAGGGTGTCTAAAATGTGTAAAGATGGAGGCGGCAGTGTCACACAGAAAATAGAGCTAATGCTTTTAGAGAGGTCAATGACTCCCTGAAGTCTGGAACCCGTGGACGTCACCAAATGCTGCATTTCCTCCTTGAGATGGTCTGGAAGACGATTACCGTAGCTGCCTTCAGCTTCTTGTTTGTGGGTCTTTGTGTCCCGGTTCCAAAAGCAGCCGTATATCCTACAACCCGGCCTCCACCATGTTTGTAATTTGTAGTTCTGAGAGAATGAGGACTTTGATTGATCACTGACTTTTAATGTAGATCCACATGACATTATTTCAATTAACACGTAAAATATCCGTGAAACACTAACTGGATAGGTTCATCCTTCTGATTGTGAGCCTTGGCTTTTGTAGTTCTGAGTGACATTTATAGACAGCAGGCAACAGTTACGTATGTTTCGGACCATAAGGCGCATTAAGCGAAACAAAACGGTCAGATAAGTCTAACTTTCCTCGACTCATTCTTCTTGCTTCCTCCACTTCCGTGCCATTAATTCATTAATGTTAAACTCTCTCGCAGCTGCTCTATTCCCGTGTTGTTGCAGTATATTAATGACTAACCTCGTATTATGGAAAATACGGTACTTGTAAAATCAAATGTTGCGATCTGCACGTGCAGCAGTGTTTGAAAGGAAGTCATATGTGTGAAGTGAGAACTGGGCTTCAGGACCTGAGGTATATAGAGGCTAATTAACATGAGAAAAGTTATAAAACTGAAATGTTCATAATTGTGTTTTTTCACAGGTTAACGTGTTTGTCTACTTGCCTCGACCTGGTGAAGAGGTGCTGCTTGCTCTACAAAGACCTCCCCTCCTTCACACACATCTTTCAGCCAATCAGAACGCTTCTTTCAAAACATCTTTCCACCCAAACATTACCAGAGCCATTACAGGTTAGTTACAGATTTATGCTGATTTTTTGTTGTTTTGTTTCTTTTTGGGGTTTTTTTAATTTGTATTTTTATCTTAATTGGATGAATTTTCTGTGTTTAGTAACAGTGTTTGTCATTGCAGGAGCTTGGCAGTGAGATCGTGGAGGCCATTAGCAGCACGCCTGTGACTCAGAGTGCGCTTGTTTTTGACAAGAGAAAGCCTATTCCTCTGAAGCTGCTCACGCCCAAGATTGTTGAAGTGTAAGCACCAAAATAAATTGCTCATCCAAATCGAGCAGTTCAGATTGTTCAGGTAGCCAAAGATTGACGATGGATGTCTCCCCTCTTTTTTTAATATTTCGTGTGCCATTTTTGGTTATTATCAGGCTGGACTATGGAAAGAAGCGTGGCAGCACCAGAGAGGAGAGAGAGAAGGAGCGACTAAAGCATAAATACAAGAGGGAGTTTAAGGGCGCTCTGAGAGAGATCAGGAAGGACTCACGCTTCCTGGCCAGAGAGAAGCTCAACGAGGTCATGAACAGGTGTGGATACAACTCCAGCATCTGTTCAGAAATGTTCATGCTTCTCTTAGTAGACGATTTAACTTTTACACATTCTGTGTTTCAGGGATGCAGAGAGAAAGAGAAAAGTGAAAGAGCTGATGGGCAGTCTGGCCACCCAGGAGGGAGAGTGGAAATCCCTGAAGAGGAAGAAGAAGTGAAATATTTAATCTCCACCAGTTCTCCCCATTGTCTGATCATTTTCAAATGGATCGCTCCAGTTCAGCTGTGGATCACATGTATAAGGTTGAAATATATGGAATATACAGCTGAGAGTTCTCTGTCATGATTGCACACCATGTTATCATATATTCCCATGTAGGCGTTTGATGTGACAATTGGATACTGCTGTTGGAAGTGTCAGTCCACAAAGGAACAGAGGAGTGAATATTTTGCTCGCATTTCCCTTTTTAAAAAAAACCAGAAACCATCACAACGTTATGCTGTTGTGTGTGCTGTCAACAGTGGCTATACTTTTCCAATAAAGAAGGTCAGGGTTACTCCCACTATGATAAAAATGTAAATAAATTTACAGCACATGGATCAAGCTGCATCGGTCTTCATTTTAAATGTTTAATGTTCTGTCGTATAAAACACCTGGAAACAGCTGCATGGTCTTCACATTAATGCAGTCCTGCACAAATTGAAAGGTTGTGGTCTTAGCAGGGTTATGGTAATAATTTATTACTTAGCAGCCTTTATTCATAAAAAGCTTAAAAACAAAGTATTTTATTATGTACTAAATATATATTAAATATAACTATTTTTGTTCACTGCAACATGGAAACACGAGGCCGTCAAATGTATCTTTACAAATCCAGTCTGAGTGAAATGATTTGAGCGATTCTGAGAATCGTTTGCCGATGCGGTTCTTGATGATCTCGGTGGTTTATCTCGCTGTGAGTGGATTTTAGAAATCAGGTCGCACGCATCACAGGACAGTTCAAACACTTTGAATTCAGACTGCAGCTGGGCAATTGACACAATACCAAGAACCTGAACAGGAAGCAGGCATTCAGATGTTGTGGGTTGGTACACAGACGTTGCGTGTATGGTTTGATTGGTAGGAAGGCAGGAAATGTTGGTTAAAAAGGCTTCGGTGTGGTGTTTAGTGGAGATGAATTTTCTCTTTGAGTTATGTTGCTGTTACATGCAGACACGAACACAACAGCAAGATCTGCTCACGCCTTAGCCGATACAAAAGTTCATTCAGGACTCACATTAGCTTTGGAGCTGTCGTAGCCAGCGTAATATTTTGTTTGGATACATTTCTGCATTTTTCTTAAAAACATGCTCACCCAGTAAATCCTAACCATCTCCAGAAGTGTATTAATGCTGGTGTCCAGCAGTGTTCTGGTCTCCATGCTTGCCCCCACCCTGCTTTTGCTTACCTTGTCCATTTGGGTCATTTTCATGCCCTCTAGCTGTTTCTCTGTTGATCTTTTTGCAAGCTCTCATCACTGCCAGTCAACTGCATACTGATCTGAGAGTGGAAGGTTATTGTGCTTACTCCTGTGCACCTTTAGGGAGTCACACTTGCTCATGTATCATCTGTTGTCCTCTTAAACATTAAAGACAGCTGCTACCTAGATCCGTCTCCATGTTGTGCTGATAGGAAGTCTGCTTTAGGAGGCAGACCAGCAACATCATGCCAGAGAAATCATCTGAATTCTCTGGCTTTCTTGAGACTTTATTATTTAGATATGAGGTTTGATCAAAAATTGCAATCTAGCTGATTTCTGCTTAGAAACTGTGGACTCCTGGATTTAATTAAATTAAAATCTGCTTGGGGGTAGCTGGAAATTCAGCTCTCACTACCAGCAATGATTCTCCATGAGAAATTTGGAATTAGAAGTTGACCTTTGCTCCTGCAATGTTTGAGGACCATGATGGTTGGAGCCGGACTTCCAGCGAGCGGTCTTAGAATAGCAACGTCCCTGGAAAAGCCACCTGGACATGCCTGAGAAAAGGATCTTAAACAGATGTAAATCAGTTATCCTGTGCATCTTATTTTCTTTTTACTGTTTTATAGTGCTCACCTGATTTGGTCCAAATGACCAGCCCCCAGAACAAGTAGCCTACCCCAGCTTTAGCATGACAGTCGAGGAGCGTGTTAGGCTACATTTCACTGTGTGTTATACTTGTATAACTATGCATGTGACAAATAATAAAGAACCTAAAGAACCTAAATATGATGTATGCTTTCCATCAAGTGCATCATAAAACAGTGGGCTACTGCAGCTGTAGACTGATGTGTCATGAACAATAAATACCCACCAAATCCTGCAGGATTAAAAGACATGTTGGCCTCAGTGTTGATGAAGAGTGCTGTCTCTCCAAGGAAACAAAATGCTGGAAGTGTTAATTGCAAGGACATGCCTTTGTGAGTGCACGTCTGTCTCTTTTTTTTCCTCCCCTCGCACTCTCTAAAGCCTGCAGCTGGAGGGCTGGCTACAGCACATTTTCAAGCCCAACATGGTTGTTCTGTTTAAGCGGCATACCAACATCTAATCCTAGATTATCTTTGATTACCAAAATCCTTAGACGATACCGAAATCTCTTAAAGCGCAAACCAGTAATTGATGAGAACTCAGAGACTCACCAGCCGCTTTGAGTTCTTTATATTTATACAAGGCAGGATGGATCCAGTCTTTCATGTTGTCTACATCAAATTGTGACCCTACCATCAGAATTCTGCAGTTGAAATCAAGACTCAACAGACCAGACAATGTTTTTCACATCTTCTGTTGTTCAGTTGTAGTGAACCTGTGTGAATTCCAGCTTCAGTTTCCTTTTCTTAGTTGAGAGAATTGCAACCGGTGTGGTCTTCCTGCTGTAGCCCATCTGCTCCAAGGTTAGGTTGTTTTGCTTTCAGAGATGATCTTCTGCATGTCTTGGCTGTACAGTAACCAGTGGTTATTTGAGCTTTTGTTGCTTTCCTATCAGCTCGAAGCAGTCTGGTTATTTTCCTCTGACCTCTGACGTAAACATCCACAGAACTCTTTTTTGGGTCATTCTCTGAAAATCCTCGAGACAGTTGTTTGAAAATCAGGAGCTTTTGAAATACTCAAACGAGCCCATCTGCCACCAATTACCACGTTGTGTTCAAAGTCACTCAAATCACCTTTCGTCCCTATTCTGAAGCTCAGTTTGAACTTCAGCAGGTCCTCTCAGCCATGTCTATATGCATAAATGCACTGAGTTGCTACCACGTAGTTGGCTGATTAGATATTAGTGTTAATGAGCAGCTGAACACCTAACGAACTGTTCCTAATGAAGTGGCTGTCATCAGGGGGACAGACTGATTTTTGTCCCACTTTCAGTGAGAAAGTGAAGATGCTTTGACATCCAGCTTGTGAACTATCAGTGTTTTAACATACACTGTTATTCACATAGCATCGCTCACCACAATTTTAAAAATGCTCTCAACACGTTTTTATTGTTATAGGTCAGCCAACTTACTTAAAGCTAGTCTACACACATATAGATATAGATCTATATAGATAGATCTGAATGTTTCAAATCAGATCACACTCCCTGCTACGGATTTTATTTTTTCCTGTCGTGACTACTGCGCTGTGTGTTGGCACGAGTCAGAGCTGACTTCACCGCATCCTGTTGGTGCAGAACACCGCAGCCCAGATCTTAGCTGGCACACAGATATGATTTGAACATATTACGCTGGTGCTTGCCAAATTACAGTGGCTGCCCATTATCTCCTGCATTCATTTTAAAGACGCATCTGTCACTTTTAACTAGCTTTGCCCTAATTATTCCTCAACTACTGACTAAAGGCGATTTGCCTTTTTGTTTCTTTTTACACTCTTTTATTTTAGACAATAGCTTTTTCTTTCCTTTTGTATTTAATTTGAGCAATGAAGCACAATTCTAAAAACATCATGGGTCTCACACTTTTACACATTTTATTCAACATTTAATTCCCATTAAATGAATATCAGTTCCTTACATGCTCTGGGTTTTCAAAAGTCCATCCAACATGATATAGTATATCTGTTATATCAGTGACAACTTAAAAAATATGAAAAGCACAAATAGCTCAGCACTTTATAGTCCACCGCAAAAAACAGTGACAGTATACAGACAAAAATAGAGAATATTATTCTGCTCCCATCTCAAACAGATCACTGTAAAGTGTTCATTTATATAGAGACACTTAGGTGTTTGTAGACTGCAGTATATTTCCATGTTTGAGTTACTGACATAGCCACACAGTTGACAAATATATAGACACACGCACACGCATAGACACGCAGTGATCAGCTGGCTTTCTCAGTGGGAGGGAGTCACTGTAAATGACAGCTGGTCACAGAGGACACACACCTGAGGTCTCCTTCGAGACTGATGTTTAAAAGGCACACACCGACGCACACCAACACGTTCACGCGACATCTTTCGATCTTCACAACATTTACACGGATATTGTACAGACGTACGGGGCGGCACGGACGGAAACACGCACACACGCACGCACACCGACGCTGAGCACAGACTCCATAAAGGACCAAAACGAGGCACGACGGGACTTGGCAGAGCAACATGGAATGTTTCGATCATTTATCCTCGACAGCGACGCTCCCCAGCAGGTTATTCGTCAGAGTCCTCCTGAAACAGGCCAAAAACAATAGAGGTCTGGATTTATCATCTGGGATGCAGATGACCTCCTGCGGCGCGATCGTTTTCACCTTGAAAGATGCATGTCTGTGCAGCTTAATGACATTACATCACAGAAACTGTGCAAAGTAACGGAGATAATGTTACACCACCCATTAAATGGTTTATTTATGAACTCTGGTGGCTGTCTGGAGCTGCTCACAGTCTGTCTTTGCCTTAAGCAGGATGTAACCTTTAAGCAAGTTGCCAGCAAATGCCAAATAATATATGAACCTTTCATTTGTTTAACAGAAATGTTGATGTAATTTAAAGATTATTGTCTTGGGTATGCCAAAGACACAGCGAGTTACCGTGCCCCTGAGCTAACTATCCATTTGCTAAATATGTGTTAAAATGAATGAATAGTTTTATACCGTAATACCTCTAATAAAACTTAGGTGAGGTTGCACCTGCAAGACTTTATCCAGTCAAGTGTGATTTGCAGCTAACACGGTCGGTGGGGGCAGGTGGGCCTTACCTCTGTGACATCAGCAGGGTCGGTATCAACTGGTGACTCTGCCACATCCTGTACCGCTGAGGCATCGTCACTCTGGAGAAAGACCAAAGAGAAACATTGTATTTTTATTTGTGCTCGATCTTTAAAATGCGACTGTATTTTAAACTAGAAAACAGCAAGAAAAGTGAAAGAATAAAAAACATGGTTACGCAGGTGAAATATCCTGAGCTGTAGATCTTCTACTAACTGCATCCAACTGTCATTTCAAAGAAATGAAATGTCTTCCCTGGTATTAGAGACCGGCACTCAGAACGGTGGTCACTTTGAGCAAACATGCACAGCATGGGATTATTGCTGGGGAAAAGAAAAGCTCTTTGTGTAGACTCACACACTACACTACACATCCATAACCACTGCATGACGTCATTACTTTACTTTTGTCCCGTGTGTGGTTCAGAATAAGTCTACAGGTGAGAAGCCAAAGGTGAGTTCTGCTCAATGGAAGCTCCAAACTGACACCTGATGCTTGTGTGATGCACAACAAACCCAAGGTTTTTTCAGCCGATCACAATGTTCACACATACACACAGGCCCCAGGATGACATGTGACATAGAAAAGGTGTAGCTACTGAGGTTGTCCTTTTTTTTTAAAACTCTGTTGCTTGTAGTGTGAACAAGCAACAGAGTTAACAAGCCAAACCGAAGCCTAAAGACCCGACCTTCTCTTTTAAATGTACTGATATTCCCATTTCCAGTTATTCAAATTGTTAGACACAGGAAAACCTTGGAATAAGGATACGATAATGGGCGCGATTGCACTATGTTTGCTTGGAGCCATTTTTAAGATCTGACACAATTTAATTACATCAAATTATATTTCTTTGACACCTTTGTCCAAAACAAATTACAGTCATTACGTTCATTGTAACTACACCGGCTGCATCGCTGTGTCCTCCGCATTTGTCACCCACATATGCTGTGGGACTACAGTACCTCTGAGTGATCCCTTGAGCCTGCTTTTGTGTCTGCAGAAGGAATATTACATGACTGAAAGTTTGGCAAAAGTAATTTAAAAGCACGTGTGAGGACATTTCTGTACAGTTTTCTACAGTCTGAATATTTCAAATAAAAAAATATTTGGGGTGGACTGACAGCATCAGCCCCTACGTGTTCTGCGTCTCACAAAATCAACAGGAAACCTGTTGATTTTGTTAATGAGTCACAAAATCCACTATGGAGGAGGTCAGGATGAAGTGGTGGGTCAGCAAAACATTTATCTTCTTCCAGCAATTAACATTGAGTGTTTAAAGCTGCTGTGCCTGTGACACGGACTCAATTTAACCATGAAAATGAAGCTCCTGTAATTGTGGTTATTCTCATTTAAAATCTTCAGACGACCAATGAGTTGATCTGAAGTGGCGGCCTTCTAATTCATCTGTGTGTGACTGTGCTAAAAACTTTGAAAAGTATAAAACAAAAAGACTGAACGTAAACAGCGTGCACAGTTCACTGTGCTGCAGCTTTGTTCGCGGATGCATTAATTCATGCTCATTTCACAACTTTCATTACGAGCGGCGGTCACTGTGATTGCTAAAAGCGGGACAAGGACGAGGCGTGAAACGCTAATGAAGACTGGGCGAGGGGTGGGTGATGCCTCCTATTTTCCCTTGATTGCGCTGTGCCATTGAACTGACCTTCCTTAATGGGGAGTGGTCACAGTGCACTGAGATGAAAGGCTGATGTGAGGTGCTCCAGTTACTGCACCCTGTCCTCCTGCTGTTGCATTTAACACCACCCATCAAGCCTCCATCTGTTCCCCTTATGGAGCCGGAGACATTCACTGTAACAGTGAATTCTACCTTGTGTGTTTGCTGCGATCAGACTCAACTTTGGGCAAAAGTTTTACACAGAAATTTGCTTCATATATCTCAGTGAAGCAATATTGTGCGAATCTACTAAAGTGATAGCTCTTTAGGGACCACGTTGTATTGTTTCAGAGCCATTTTCAAGCAAAAACTGCTTTACGTGAAACGGCAGCTTTTATCACACGCGGCTGAAAAGATTTCATCAATAAGATGTGTTTATTGAGACCATTTTCCCCTCTGCCCTACGCCACGTTTTCTACTACGCTGCCCACCCTCGCCTCATTTTCTTCTCCCACTATCCTCATCACTTCTCTCTTGTCTTGATATGACTCACCAGCAGATGATGAATTGGCGGAACAACCAGATGAGGAGATTAATCAAAACTCAGCATCCCACCATCCTCTGTTTGTGGATCTGTGTGTGTCTGTGTGTATGTATCAGCTACAGGAGGGAATCGCTGATGGACTCTCTCAACCTGGCATCAATTTTTAAATAAAATCAATATTAATGAAGTTTAATGGCTGAGCCGGCTGGAAATGACGCTTAAATGAGGACAATCTGATGCTCTCTTCTTTCTAGTTTCTCACTGGGAAAAGTCCCTGTGTGTGTGTGTGTGTGTGTGTGTGTGTGTGTGTGTGTGTGTGTGTGTGTGTGTGTGT